AATAAATAATATTTAAGTAATGCAAGAGATATATTATATATTGTCAAGCGGGTCATAATGTTTAATATACATTTTATATGAACTACTATAACGAATATTTCAATGGCATAATAGATTTCCCTTGTTTCGCGATTAACCGCCAAAACAATATAATATTGTGTATTTTTACTTGACCGACACCTTGTCCGCGAGCTGGTTTTAGCCGATTGCGAGCTGGTTTTACACTCAACATGTTTGATTTATTATTTCATATTAACGTCATTATCACATAGTTTTTTCATTCATAAAAATATTATTTATATTTATTACACATATGGGTAATTCGCAATATACGAACTCATACACAAGTATGTATAGAATTATAATATAGCTACAGTTATTTAAATTGCATACACACGACGGTCGATCGATAAACAACTTTTCCGTCACCATAATATTATTATTAGTAACATTTTTCTAGTTCTTTTAAAAACCTTTAATCGCCTTTAATAATAATTCGTCTGTGTAATGAATTCATTTATCGTTTTCACGACTTGGTGGGTGGAGCCGTCTGTCTTTTTGTGGCTGTATTATGTTATGCAGAAAGCGAAAATAGACCTATTGTCAGCAAAATTGATTTCGAGAAAAACGCCAAAAATATTTTCCAAAAAACGCGCAAAGTATTCCTGTAGGCAAACTCCGACGTGCAATAACTAAATCATTTTTTTTTTAGCTACAAAGATGTGAATGAAATTGTTCGAAAACCAATCAATATTCAGAGAAATAGCACTAACTCAATTTTGGAAAGAGGTCCCTTTTCGCTTTCCGCATCACACAATATACAGTGTCCGGTCCTTATATTTTCATAGTACATCACAATAATAATATATTATATTTTAATGTCGTTCGGGCGCGGTTAACCTAGTGCGGTCGGCCGACGGTAGGTACCTTTGTCGTGACGGCGGTGGTCAGATGGAACGGTTGATGGCGGTGCAACGGCGATGCGATTATTATTATTTAAGAGGACAAGCTAATAAATAATAAATTACACAGACAGACGACGGTCATGATGTATAATATGATTATTTGTATCATCGAGGGCGTGTGAACGTACTGCAACGGAGCAGCTCGCACTTTGCCGAACGTTCGCCCAGTTTCCAATAAGGTCTTTCAGAATAATAAATAGAAACGCGACTGTGTCGATTCGACGTGTAGTCAATCGATGCTCTTTTGAACAGGACAAAAAAAAATAGAAACACTTGTTTTGTGCAAATGACGTTACGTAGAAAATATTCCAATTTAAGTCCGTTTCGTTTCTTATGTTTTATTGCATAACATGCAGACAACGTGTGACGGGTACAAAACAGAATAATTCAGCTGGACAAATTCGATTATGGGGCGCAAAAAATAAGTAAAAATAAAACGGCTAATGGGATGAGTTAGAGAGTAGCCGTGATTAAACACCCTCGAGAATACCACTATGCCTCTAGGTCAACAGGGTGACAACAACAAATGATTTGGACCGGTGAAGCTTTATAAACGGCGTTCTGATTATGCAATTTCATTGCACCCGTGTCGAGGCGACCAAAAACGTTGTTCACACAACAGCTGTGGCACTACAAACACAGAACTATTGTCGTGAGCAGATAATTTTGTTCACCCCAACATTATGTGCAGAATAATATTATAATATAATACACATTTAGTGTTAAGGTTATCGTTTTCCATAATGGATCGCGGTTTTATATTTACTGTTAATAAGTGTGGCTTTTTAAAGAATTTTACATGTAACACGGATGTGAGGTTTTATTCAAAGCCGTATGAAGCGTTTACAACACTACAATATTTTAACATACAACGCACCTAGTAGAAAATTCGAGTACCGTTGACAATTCTATCAGCACTGTTTTGCCGGAGTTTATAAAAAAATTGATATGTTTTAATATGGTTTGTTTAAACTTCCCAACTACGGGCCACTACTTGATGTTCAAGAGAAAATGAATTCCAACGAACGGTGGTTTAGATCTTATGTGGTAAAAAAATCGCGTTATTATCAGTTAATTACAAGTTAGTTTAGACAAAAAATGTGTGTGATTTTTTTGTTTTAGCTATATTTTTATTTTGTTTTTAATAATAAGGTGAGAATGAACGGGAACGATACTAGGTAATGACATATTTATCAATGGAACCCGTTAGATAAATCACAGTTTTGGTGAGAAAATAAACCGTATTTTACTTGATAACATCAAATTTATTATTTCGGTTTGTTCACAGCGTTTGTAAACAGTGTGAAACAAGCTGTCGTGTGTAAACAACCACCACGCTGAGGTAAAATATCGACAATGTCAAGTAGTGAAATACATTATAATATATAAAGTCGACCGCCTGCGCATTATTATTGCGCCAAACAAATCCAATGTATATTTTTAACCATTCGGTCGACCTTGCATGAGAGATTCGTTAGAAAATGAATTCCAAAACGAACGGGTGTGTTCGAAGTTGTAGTCATAGATCATCGTGTACAGAATGTAACTTGGGCACTACTCAACTTATCTCATTATTCGGTCGAGCCCAGTTACATTACACAATTTTATTTTTGAGCCAACACTTGCTCTCCATACCGACGCAGTACAAAAACCTAACCAAAACTCAACTAACCAACAAACTAACGCCGGTGCTTAAATAAAAAAAAAATTGTACATTAAATTCTAAACGTAAGATCCGAAAGATATAATTATTATCAAAATTATGTTGAACCGTGACCGTCTGGAATTTAGCAACGCAGTACAGTGGTAGTGGGAAACGCTTTTCAACGGTAATTAATCGTCCGGACGACATTGCGCTAATTAAACTTATAGCTGTTAAGAAGCCTGTGTATTTAGGTATCCGGTGTATATGTTTATGTTAAAACATAAACCACTGCCGCCTTGTGTGGCGTACGCCAAATGCAGACACTTCTAAGTTCACACACGGCGCCGAACAAATGCAACGAGTAAAATTTGCTGTTAGTTGCCGAATGAGTAATGATGAGAAAATTAACGTGTTACCCTTTGGGCTGCATGAAAATCTATACTTATGCACACACTTAAAGTAAACAACAATAACCTGGCCGAAAGTGTGGATCGTGGCCTACATATTATATTATACAGTCGAATTAAAATCACACTATCTTCAATCAATTTTTTGGACACTATTATGTTGTCCTGGAACATTAAATACTTCGATATGAATATAAAGTGACGATTGTTAAAAAACGAATAAATAGTGTTTAGAAATTAAAATGTTATGTATAATAAAATATTTATATCAAATAAAATAGTTATTATCTTAAATGAATTTTCCTAATTGAGTCTTTTGCCATCTCGTCGAGAACTGTGTTTGGTTCGATTTTTGAATTCGTTATAAATATAATCAGCCGTCTACCATAACTGTCTACCATTTACTGTCTACCATAACGATGGTTGAAAATCATAATTTATATTTTAAGATACCGGGTTTCTACGAGGCCTACCTATGTAATCTAACCTTACCTGGTCCGGAACATGGATTATATTTAGTATACTGTAATAATAATAATGTCATTTTATAGCAACACAGATGAACCGGGTTAGGTAGGTGAAAAATGCCGACTATAGGTGCTTAGTCCTTACTACTTCACATGTACGTTTTTTTTAAACTTCCCTTGTTATGTACCTAAGCTTGTATAATTCAGTCTATTCAGTCGATGTCTAGAAAGGTATTTTAGATTTATATAAATATATAATTTTATTCTACAAAATTAGAATAAATATTTTAAAAAAATAGTTACGCTTGATAATTTGGGTACCCTATTTATATTCATAAATAGCGATAACCTATTTCGGTTCATTAAACATATTTGATGAGGTTTTTTTTTTATCTAGAGTTTGAAATTATTGAAATTCTCGTCTTATATTTTATTTTCTGTTTTATCAATTTTAAACGAGTTTCTTGGTAAAAAAAAAATAATTTTGAATATATCGAGTCAAATAAAAAAATGAAACGATATTCAACGTGTTTATTCAGCCGATTTATAGAGAAATGGGTTTTGAAAATTTAACATTTTTTTGCTCGTATCCTGAATTTTGAAATTTTTAACAAATTGAAATTCCCAATCATAGGTAAAGTGGTTGATGTTTAAATTTATTTATGGATAAATACAAAAAATATAATTACATATTCTATTTTTAATTTGATATTATTTCATATATTATACCTAGTACAGTACAATAAGTACTAAGAATTATGCATCAGGACATACATTGGGAGTATTAAACTGAAACACACTGCGAGTACCTTTGTTTTTAGCTAGTGGTTCGCTAAATACATTTTAAAAAAACTATTTAAATTTTTCATAATATTATATCACAATTATGTTTTTCTGCGCTATATGGGAACCGTTAACGTAAACACAAATATGGTTTATGTATTAACAATATTTTCACTGATTATAAAATAATATACGGAGTTAATTATTAAGAAAAAGGGATTATGTTTTCTGAGAACAGTAATTAAAGTTTGATAGCTACAGCATTTAAAAACGTTCATTAATTTTAGTAAATAATACTTTATTTAGATATATCAGTTTCTATAGGATCCTATAGGATTCTAAGTCAGTTGAGATTTAAAAAAAAACTAAAAACAATGAAACTTTGAAAATAAATTAATGGGGCGAAAGTGTTAGCCAAAAAATGACTAAAAAGAAAAGAGCTCGAAAAATGTTCAAAGAAACTTAGTTTTTTATTCTTAATAAACAATATTGTTAAGTGGCAAGGTATATCCTGATATACTGCATAAAGTTAAATTATGTATTAAATAAGTAATGACTATAGTACAACCCAAGTGTCAAATTTAAATTATTTTAGAATATTTATTAAACATGTATAAATGTAGAATTGTATAAATATAATGGCTAATGAAATAATGGTTCGTGTAGTTTATTATTACTCGTTATTTTAAAAAGACAAGGTCTACACCCAAAACGTATAATAGGATGTACTTACGGGTTTTGTTCCAAAGACCAGTTGAAGAGCGAAATGCGAGACTTTTACGGTTTTTCTGAAACAAAGTAAAAAACCAACACATTAAAAAACAAATTCATTCTAAACCAGTTCATTTTAAACCAAGCAAAACACATTAAGAAATATTTAGAGTGGGATCCGATAGCAACAGTTTCATGTTGAATGCGATTTTATTAAAATTGCATCTACTGACTACTTTTATTTTAGTATGTTGGGCTTCTTACTATGTTAGCTGTATACAAATAATTACTTTTTATCTTTAAAGGTTAAGCTGGGGAAATAGGTGGAATTTAGTGTTATTTTTAATTGCGTGCATTAACTCTATCGTATTAACTTTTAAACTTTTAAACTAATGACTCAAAATTGGTCATCGACCAGCCAACGTTTTCAGTAAATTATTTTTAATAAAAAAATGTTCTAAAATAATATATGCGTTATCGTTTAAGTTTCAAAATTTGTTATAAAAATATTTAATACTAGAGAGGGTTAAAGGATCGGTCAAACAGAAAGCGGACTGTCCGCGCGAACAGCGTCCGTCCAACAAGTCCGCTGCGGACTGGGATAGTCAAACAGAATGCGGACAAGTTTGAGCGAACCAGTGTGAAAACTGCCACAACCAAGAGTGTACTGCTGGTTGTTTTTTTATTTTTTATTTTTATCTCACGTTTTCTGTTTTCATTTTCTTTTACAAAATGACTAGATTCTTCTGCTTGCCTTGAGTTAAGCAAGACGAAAAAAAAAATGGGTACATGAACTAAATAAAAAAAGAATAGAATTTGGGGAGTTTCACCGACTATGCTGTATTCTCAACGTTCAAACTAGAACTGAACTAAATTGAATTCAATAAATTAAGAGGTCATATTTTTATGAATTGTTTTAAGCCAGATACAGATAGCATTAAACACTAAAATATTAGCCAGAAGTTTGATGTTTTAATATACTAGGCACCTTAGATACGAGCTTGTTAATATACTATATCATTATCTGCCATTATCTATAATTCCACCACTACTTTAAATTTATTTGGTACTTCAACGAGAAATGAAAATGCTCATTCGTGGTTGCAGACTCGGCTGAAAAATTGTATTAAATTTTACATTTTTGTGAAGTGTTGATACCAGTCTTTTGTCGAATCTGTCCATTTTTCTGTTTTTTTTTTATAATCTGGATGCCACGTATCATACAAATAAACGCATTCTCGAACTAGATCAATCAATCGTTCCGTTTCATCGGTCATTTTCAGTGCACAATTTTAAAATGAAAATTTTTTTAAAATTAAGTACAATATGTTGTCATCAATATTGTTTGTATATTTTATGTTCGATAATTATATAATAATAATAATAATATTTTAGAAGTTCTGATACGTGTGGAAAATCCAGTGTATTGTCTATATTAAATATATATATATTTTTTTTATTTTACAAAATTATTCCAGTCCGCCGCGAACTTTGTGAAAAAATACAACCATCAGTTTGCCGCTGTCTGTTTAACCAGAATGATGCATTTAAATAGAGTACAGAGTCCGCGGCGGACCGATCTTTAATTGTAGGAAAGTTTGTAAAAAATAAGATCCCATTGTATAAAAACATTACGGGAAAAAATGTAATTAAATTACTTATTTAATTCTATGAGATATTGAATGAATCACTTAAAAAAGCATCCTATTTACTGTACTAGTTTAGATTAAAATACATTTATTCCTACTTATGTTTAGCGTTATTTTAAACAGTATATTTGTGCAGTGATAATGTAAGTTTTTTTAATATATTGCCCGGTGGGTATGTGGAGATGTGTGCTACATAATTTATAAGCAATCTGGGTCGGTTCATATGAAAAACAAATCTAGTAAAAAAATATTAGTATTTGCTTTTTCCCGAATTTGGGTCGAAGGAATTGATTTTTTTTAATTTTTTGACCTACCAAAGCACCAATCGCATATAATTCCTAATTAATAGACACACTTTTCCAGTAAAAAGGTTCAGAGAAAAAAAATGATTTTGTTTACAGACACAAAAGACAAACAAATCACTATAAACCTATACCTTCTAAGCTACCCATCAAAGCTTAAAAAACAAACACGATATATTAAATGAAATACTGTAGTCACAGCATAAAAATGAATCATTTGTAATACATTCATCTAAAAATATGTTTTACTGAACCGAACGTGTTGTCATGTACTTTTTAGTTTCATCTATGCTGTGTTAGTTTTAACAGTGTTGACGGATTCCAGAAGTATCGAGCTACTTTAGAGAGATAGCACGCATGTCATCAGTGGCTAATGGAGTTATTTGTGGGCGGAGCTGCGTTGCAAATGTACAAGTAAGAAGACAATGCATATTGTTATAGCAACGTGGTAAATGGAACATTGCCTAATGAAGTAGGAAATCGTGTTCGCGTTAATTCACATAAAATGTCACCGTTCGGCCACAAGGCCTGACACAAAAACGCCTTTAAATTAAACGTTGCAAGTGTGAAACCCAGTTAGAGGCCGTGTTGACCTATGGGACACGTTGTCGCTTTCAAATTGAAAATCCCAACGGTTAATGCCGGCCAATCCGGTGTTTGGACAATGAACGTGTGGACTAAAAGTTATTCTCGTCGTCCCAAAAGCGTAGTGAAGTACCTGAAAAATAATATTTTCTTGTGAACATAGTTATGTTAACGACGTTTTTCTTTTGTTACTAAAACGGACTGACGGTAACAACAAGGAAGGGAATTGTCGACGTCGTCTTTGAAGTAACTTATAATAACGGGATGTGGCCGCAGCCAAAGACACATTTGTATAGGTCAAGCACAAAAACAAGTCAAGAAGGTGTAAAGGTAACCTGCAGAAAATTGGACATTGCACCGGCGACATGCTGATAAAATAACACTTAACAAAAAAAAAACATTCGAGCTATTGTGATACAATATTGAAATTCGCCGTTGAGTGTATATAATGGCAATGACGCTAAGTGAACACTTCACATAATAATAAGAGAGGGGAAGGAGGTTTGAGACTTGACGTCACCTTGTATAATTAATGTGGGCGTTTGGCATAATGTTATGTAATCATTAATTCAACATTGTTCCTATTTAATGAGAACAATGGGTTAATACACAAATTGTAATCTAATTGTATACAAATATTTTTTGAAAGATAAAGAATTATGAAATGTTTTTTTAATTGTTGTTATTAAAAACACAAATGTTTCAATATAGTTAATAGTTATAAATTATTATAATTTAGTTTTAATAATATAACCTCAACAGATGCTGAATAAAATCATACAAATTTTGATATTTTAATATGACTATTTATAAAAGGTATAGTCTTTTAAATAATTTTCCAAAAACTAAAAATAAAGAACGTCTACATGCCGACTTCAACTATTCGATCAACACTTATCGATAGTACTTCATCCTAAGAAAATTCCATTCAAACTGTTTTGGCTATTTAATTTGATACTCGGCTTAATGCGTAATCCATAGTAATTTGGGACTAAATCACATTGATACATTGACATAATATATCAATGGGAACGGGAATTTCATTGTTAAATTAATATTACTATAATGTTAGCAAAACAAAATCGAATAAAGTGACATAATAAATTAACATTGATTCAATGTTCAATGTATTGTTTTTCCAGGTATAAACGAAAGGAGTTGAATTAAGATGAGAGTAAAATATATTCTTTAAAAATATAGTTTTTACGTGAAATTAAAGAAAATACCAATTTTAAAGATACGATTGACAGACATTAATTGGACACATTAAAGTGTCAACAAATTAGTTAGATAACTTTGTATGTTCGCTTTTAAATGATGGCAAGTTAAATAAAAACTGTAATTTACTTTGAGGGTTTCTCACTACAAATACTGTGTTGATAAATTGAATTAAACAAAAAAAAAATTAAAAAAATTAAATAAACGCTAAGGTCTTTTGTGTAAAGCTAAAAGCTAAAAGAACCAAATATTACTTTATCTGAGCGCACGGCAATTTACACAAACCAATTTACCCAGTTTTTCTAACCCATATACCTCTGTTTCCTCTTAAGGTAAGTTTTTGAAATTCGAAATATAGATTAAGCTCCGGTAGCTTATAATACAGTACAAATTTGAGCCCTTTAGTTCCAGCCCAGCTCCCAAAAAAGTCAGCCTATCATAGTAGTGGTATCTTCATTGAGGCTAAGTTGGTTTTATGCCTCATTCAGAAAGGTCATGTTTCATTCGATAGTTGTAGCTGACAAATGGCAACGGAAATTGTAATTTTTTAATTATACGAATACCATTCGAGGTTTGCTTGTCGAGTTAAGTTACAATATGACATTTTGCACAACATTCGGTTTAACGATATAAATACTTACCTTGGGTGTTCGTTCAGAGATGAACTTTACGCAACTACGATCAATAATTGGTTACCAATTTCTCTATTGTCCTTAATACTATTTTCAAACACTACCGCAATGGTTAGAAATTACTGACAAATACGATTCACATGTTCTATTCCCTATGAAACTGTAGTGAGTGATGAAGTATTTAAAAAAACACCACTCCCTCTTTTGTGTATTTTGTTCATGAGCATTCTTGCACTTGACTTTCAAGTGTTGTAGTTCGGAATTCCTTCTTAGGACAATCAAACAAATTATTCGGAATTTACTGAATGCATTTTCACTGATGTTTAAATATTTAACGTAAGCTTAGAATACACATCATACACCACAACATTCAAGCTTGTTTATCATCAGAAACAAAGATGTACAGTTTGGCGCGATAATAAGAAATTAATCGAGCAAAAGACATATAAAAAGCCATTTAAACTTTTTAAATTATAAAAAAAAACACATTTTTCGTTGGTTCGGCCTTGACGGATCTCGTAAGTATTCGATAAAACCTCACATTAAAATAAACGACTACAACTTACGGTTTATCATGAATTATATGTTAGTCTGATGCGTTAATAACTTTAAACTAACGAAATGAATGCGTTTGGTTCGTGTTAAGAGAATACACTTAATAAAGTCAATTTAGAATTTAATACATTTTTTTAATCGTTTAAAACCTAGAATACTATCTTCACTTGGCATTTTTTATTTACTTTAAGAGTACGTACAAAACAGATAAGCGAACTCTGGACATATTATTAACAATATTTATAAAACTACGGATGTGAATATTTGATAATGCGTTGCAATATGGTGCTCGTCAGTGACTTTTAGAGTTCACTGAATTATTATAATAATCCCTTCGGTCAATGTAGCAATTATATTATTTATAATTTATAATTACAATATTTTACTAAAGCGCTTGTCTATATATTCAAAACAACCAAAATCCCAAATTATTATTTATCAGCCGTTAATATATGGTTATACATATTTTATGCGTATTGAAAATGATTCAACCGTAATTCAAATTAAAATCAAACACAATTATCCCATTGTACACGTCAAAAACATTCATAAACTTTCAAAGTAATCATAACATAAAATAGGGTTTTGTATACTATATTTTATTATTATATACACATTATGTGTTCGGTTACAAGGTATTGGTTTTACAATGATCGAATTTCAGTTTCGTCTGAACCACAGTAATTTTTGGACTGGGCCAATTTCTCCAAATAGTTATCATATAATATATACACCGCAGCTATTGTGCGTACAATATTTTTTATAGATATAAAAGCTTATACATTTTACTCGTTACGCTTGAAAACCAAGAAAAAATACCAAAAAAGGTACATATTTTTGGTGTAAGACTGGTTATATTTTCATTAAGAAGTAGAAAAATAAAAAATTCTATATTTAAAAACCAACCGTAATTGGTGGCGATGATTTCTAACATTTTTCGTTAACACCAGGATTTATATTTCAATTCCCACCTTTCCCACCTCTTCTTTGATTTTCTGCACACACACAATAATTTCTTTAAAACAAAATCATTGTGACTGCGGACGAAACCAATTTGTTTATGCCAAGAAAAAGACTTGGCGTGGCTGGCGAAATAGATTGTCATTTATCAAACAGGATTCTCACCGTGTTTATGCCCGATTCACCTATTCCGCTTGTAAGTCAAACAGCAAACCCTATTGTCTACATAAATCTCCGGGCCGTTCATCTTTTCCTCAATCTTGTTTGTTGACGTAGCTTCCGACTTGGTAGGAAAAATTAACAATTCGGAAAATAAACAACTCTTACAATTTGTAAGAGTACTTTGTGTCACACAGGATGCACAAATATTGGAACAAATCACCGTTTTAAATTTAAAAAAAAATAACATTTTTCAGGTTTATTTTGCTCGCCAGGTTTTCGAAACAAAGCCTTACTGATATTGGTTTTTGACGTATAATCAATGCGATATCTATTCAAAATGATATTTGCCGCGAACAATGTACTTATTATAGGTCATGCCTATGTGGAAATTGGACCTATTCATTTTACGGTTTACCACATATTATAACTATATGAAAATATCACGTTCTGTCAACGGCGTCGTTGAAACCTTGACGGAAAATGGGCGAAGTTGTCATTATAAAATAATAATATATATTATGCCAAAGTATGGATTGATAATGTCGCGAGCTAAAGTGCTGTTACAAGTTGTATTTGATTACTTTTACGTTACACACACGAGGGTTATTTTATTATTCGGAGAAAATGTAGAACCTATTATTTTTAATGTTATAGCGTCTACACGACAACTCAACACTGTATACACACTACGGATAAATTATCTATTGTTTTTTCGTGGAATAATCTATTAAAACTGAACTATATAATAATATGGCACACAAATACCCTGTCTGTTTATTATTCGGTTTTCGATAATTCTCTAATTTCATAATGGTCGACACGATTTTTAATACTTGTATACGTGTACACGTGCGGTATTACATAGTAGACATTAAACAAAATGTGTGAGTCAAGGCTGACTAGTCATGCGAGTATAATATTTGTAGATAGGAAAATATGTAGTTAAGAAATAAATTCTTAAGTTAAGGCACCCGGATTTGGAGCAGAACTCCTCGGTGTTGAATGTTATGACCGCTGAAGTACTTTCTACTCAATATATAATTGTTCATTTTAATGACATTAGTACTCGGATTCAGAGGTATTAAAAAAGCTTATAGATGGATTACCAAGTTACTATAATATACATTTGTTTGTATTGGTGTGTACACAAATTATGCAATATCTATCATACTTACATTGCATTTATAACAAAACGAAAGAGGCTTTAATTAAAATCTAACTAAATTATATTCTAAAAATATATTTCTTGTTTTATTTTTCATCAATAACATATTAACTAGTTTTTCTTAAAACCTTTTGTATAACAGTACAAGCTATATACTTTATACTGCTAAAATATTATACTTTAGTATTGAATTAAAGTTTCATAAAATCACAGTATAATTTTTGATCAGAAATTGCGATTATAATTTGATATATATTCTATGAAAACAAAAGAGGTGTTCGCATAAGTTATTTACTTATATAAGTCTCACTCTTCGTGTATTGTAGGTATATAAAAAAATGACACGATGTCATGTATGATCTCTATATATACGTTTATTAAAGTTATTAAATAATAATAGCTAATAACATCATAGTTCATTTATTTTATATTATATTCATTATACCAAACAAAATGTACATAATGCTATTTATACATACTTATGTTTTTTAGGCGTTATGAAAATATAAATAAATTTCCCAAATTTTTCGCAGAATTTTCATTAATGACTCGTTTAAAGTAAACACTAAATACAAAGATATAACGATAATATAATGTTTTTATTACAAAACGTTGATTTTCATGAAAACTTGCAAACTGTTAAAAACTTTTCAGAGTGATGATTAAACCAAAAAACGTTGGCGGATCTAGTTTGGTGATTAGTTAGAGCGTTATAAATATAAAAGGGTTAAAAAGACCCTTCTCAGTCGAAATTATTTATAAGAAGAAAACAATAGCTTCAACTCAATGCCGCGCATTTATCTCTTCGCTATATTATTCGTGTTGTGTTCCATTTGAAAAATTTATAAGATGGATAAATATTATTTCCAGCGCACAGCGGCTGTCAAAAAGAAAAAAAAAACATAAAGAATTTATTCGTATCTCAAGTCTGGCCTTAAAAAAAGACTTCTTGACTTTTCCTAATTGCGTGTGTACCTTTGTGTTTACTGGGTGCTGTTTTAAAATAATACAAAATAATTTGCTACTAAAACGACTTAAAGTTTAAAAGCAAATAAAATGAAGGCCGGAAAATCCAAAGAAAAAATAGTAAAATAACCGGTTGGTGAAAAATTGCGGCACTCGAGTTGTAACGGCCAATTTGATTGGAATGTTTTATACCGAATAACTTCGATAACTTACTGCATTTCTACTAATATATTTGAAATGGCGAGGGGGGGGGGAGTGAAACTTTAACAACAATTTACAATCGAAATGTAAATAAATAAGTTATAGCTAATGGTGGGCTGCGAGGTAAAAGAATGTCTTTAGAAGTACAACAATACCACTCTAACACTTAAAACTTAATGCTGATCATCGACGACTGTCCAGTGTTGAATAATAGAAACGAGAAAGAAATAAAGTAATAAAAATAATGCTATAATAATATGTATGGATTTGAATCACTCGATTGGGCACAACTAAAAATGAATAGAATGTATTTGTAGGTGGCAATTTAAAAATTATAATACTGACCAAAAATTGTGAACAAGTAAGAGTATGTTTTGGCATACTAAGATATAAGAGAAAAATTATGTAGTTTCGAATAGATAAGAGTGGTTATACTTCATAGCATAAGTCAATACTTGGCCCAAGGGAAACATGGTAGCTTGTGAGGTGCTTTGGAAATAGTTGAAATAGATAATTAGATTGTCGACTCCACTTTAATGGAACGGAACAATTATGCTACAGTGTTCAAAATATACTTTTATAGATAAGAAAGCATTGTCCTATGATACTGTTTTATTAATACCAATGGCTATATTAGAGACAATACAACTATAATTACCATAAATAATATCGTAAAAAACTCTAAAAGTAATAACTTTAGAGAAAATATTAGAACTTTGGACGTAAACATAAGCACTAGTATTATTTACGTATAATTTTATTGTTATTATCGACTGTCTGGACTATCAATAGCGCTCGAGTATTAAATTGTTTTTATATAACAATAGTTTTTCCCTCTAAATTTTCTGTGGTGTTATTAAACTTCCCATACTAAACTCTATCAATCATTGGATGTTGAAATGGCGCGTACTGCTAGGAAAATACTGTGGATTTTTTGCAAGTGCTCAATTGAAGAAATAGTTGAATATTAACTTTAATGTTTCCTGGAGAGGCTTACCATAACTACCTACTTGTAATAGTCGAGTCTGATTTTTTTTGTGCTATGACATGGTAATTGTAAATAATGGGCGTAGTACTTTACTCAGTTGTGTGTCAACACGTTTAGCGTGTACGCTTCTTGCTCAAACACGAGATACCTTTTCGATATATAGGTCTACAAGTGACAGAATGTACCATCTTAAGCTGTACACGCGGGTTGGCAATAAAAAGTATTACGGGCGATGAAAAGCCTATTGTTCTCAATGACAACTCAACAATATAAACACATCTATAAAACTCTAGAGACCTTCTTTATTATTACACGATAATTTAAAGAACCTAATACTTTCTTACACGATTAACAGGATGAGTTTTTTTTTGTGAATAATGAACTGTGTGTGTCATACAGTAATATCCTATATTAAATATTCTAATACATGCTTATAACGTGCTAATCGACGAGACATAATTATTGTTATTATTTCATTATAACAAAGGCCAACGAATTCTTTGGCATATTAAAATAGTATGTACATTTTACGGCGAGTTGACAGCGTTATATTTATTTTCTACTTAGCACAATAACATTTTTTTTTTATTGCTCCGATAGATTAATGTGTTTCGATCAATCCATTTAAGTCGGCAAGGCAGCTTGTCGCCACATTTTGTATTTATATACGTTACAAGTTGTTTTGACATTAAAGTGTTTTATTTTAATTTTTTTTTTACGCAGTGACAGCAAAATATCTGTGAACGAGGACGGTTTTCGAAAAAGTTTCTGACGATTCTCGAATTCGGCTCTTTGACCCAACCGACATAGCTGTTTGTAACTATAGATGGGACTTGAGAGGTCAAAAGTTGATAAAGTTTTCGCAGTTTCCTACACCGAAAACCAACAAGTGTTGTTCCGTTTTGAAACGCTGCGATTTCCTGAAAACCGTCACGATAAAGCGGGCAAAAGTTTTGGATATTTTCGAAAACAAATTATTATTATTGTTTCCAGTCGAAGTTTAATAGAAACATTATTTTAATTATCACCACCTCGATACGGTCTCGTATGATGATCGATAACTTTGACATTAATAATAATAATTATAAATGTTTTGTTTATTATAGTAATTTTTTTTTTGTAGTAAAACAAAGGACAGCAAACTAATGGAAATAAAACAAACTGTTACAGTATTCGTGTTAGTTTAGTTTATTTCTAATTTAATTATCCTGCCGACGAGCGAAAAAAAAAACTGAGACACTGAATTTTTTTAAATACTAACTCGTAACGCACGATATTTAAATGCGGCTATTGTATTATACAATTATAGAAATTAAAAGTGACATCCTGATTTAAGGGAGTCTTAGCTAAAACAGGTATCAATAGAGGACATAATACAAAACAAGCCGCTCACTTTCATTTTTTTTTCCCTCTCAACTAAATTAGGGGTTCGCTTGATCGTGGCCATAATGGATTGTTTGTCTGTCTGCGAAACATTAATACTATAACAACACGGACCAATCCAATAACAGTTTTACCTGTGACGTTATAATGACTTTGCGTGGGTATACTACGCGACCTATCGCGTTGAATTATCATAATAATTGTAATAAGCCGTCGCATTAGATAGGCAATTTCGGTACACTGACGTCGTTGAACCACATAATAGACGAAAGCAGTAGGGTCACTTTCAATGTAGTCAAAAACAGTAACGGCCATATTGTAAAGTCTAGATATAAAGTATAGATGTTACACGAAATACTAAATTTCGTATAATATTTATACACAGGTAAAAATAAAATAATGTATAGTTATAACATTATAGTGGTGTAGCCTTAAGGGGCCTCTATACCAGCATTTATTAAGGCGTATTGTATAGGCAATTTCAAAAAACATTTTGTCACTGTGTTAGTAACTGTTTACTCGTAAATGAACATTAGTGTTAGTGAGCAATTTTATGTATATAATACATATACATCATAATTCTCCGTATACGGAGTCGCGACCGCGAAAGTGCGATAACAAGATAGTAACTTACTATTATTGATTCCATACTATCTAAAATTTTATCGCCTAACGCGCGGACAGGTAAATGATATTACTTTAATTGTGTCTGGGGTCGCATTTATATTATTTCTGTAGGAGTATATACACTGACAAACAGAAGCACGAAGATAATGATTATTACTAGACATTAAAAATTACGAGTTTGTAATACTTACTTTTGACAAATATAATAACAACAGACTAGCAGTTATTGATGAAGATTTTAATTACAACTATAATAATAAATTAATACAATTTTAATATATAAAGATATTTTTTTGGTTTGTCAACGTTTTTCCGTTTACGTTGTATAGTACTTTATCCGAAGAATATTCCATAGAAATTTGGAACAAAATCGACTATTTTAAAAAAAGTTATAATAAATATGTAATATGTACATTTTTATGTGTTTTCCCAATTTTGAAGGGGGAGAGGTGAACTTTGAAAATTTTGCTCCAAGAAATTAACTTTTAGATTAGATTTCTAATATATAAAGTAAGTAGGTACACGAAGAAATCGGTTAACGGCATAGAAGATACGTCCAGACACAAAAAACAAAAATAAATACAAATAAAACCACCAAATAAACCACAAATAAAACCACCAAGGTATTGTAAAAACAATACCTTCTCAACTACGCATCGAAGCTAAAATAAAAATTTTTTTTGGTAAAATATGCCGTTCTTCAAAATATAATACATAAGGACTCGTTTAATTCATAATTAGACATAATATTATGTAACTCACGGAGCATGATCTAACCTCTCTCTGGACAGTTTTTTGTATTCAGCGAATTTAAATTCCCTTTATCCTGCGAGATAAGGGTTTTCTATACTTAGGTTAATACTTCCTAATAGACTTATTATTCATTATTATATGAAATATAAATTATATAAAATATGAATTGTGTGAGTATAAGACGACCTGACGATGGACAACATCAACAACGCTAGTCGAATACTCGAATGACTAAAATCTAAATTGTAGAAAAACGATCATTTTTACAATTCAGTATAAATTGCAATGTCCTGCCAATGATCCTCGTTTTAATAGTATTTTGTTATACACCGTACATGACAAAATATCTAAAAATAATATCCTTATCTGCAATTTGCGGGTACTATGCGACGACGACGATAGCGGTCGATAAGGAATGTCACGCACTCGCGAGCACAAGTCAATAAACTGTTGACTTAAAAATTACAATTTTTTAACTTTTTTAAACTGAAATAATTAATTAACTAAAATAATTTTAAACTTGTGCCACGACCTATGCCTTGAAAATGTTTTGAAGAATTCAAATATTTTTTCAAAACTTAAATCGGAGTATTCTTAGGAACAATACGTTTGAATAAGAATGAGTTGTTTTCGACTAAAAATACGCAGGTGTAGAGGCCCCTTAAGAAGAAGATAGCCGCCGCGTTTTTGTGCAAAAGGTATCTTCCCCGTGTTAATTTGTCATCAATGTCCAGGGCCTGGTTGAACTACAATAGCGCTAAACCAATCCATGTAATATTAACAAACCCGATCGTACAAGTCGAACATAGAATTTATAAAAACGTTTTTTTTTTTGTATGTTTGTAATAAATAATAATTGATATTATAACACATAGTCGACAATGTCAGACTTCTCACTCGACGCTAAACAATTGACAAGCACATTTCCGAAACTTCGAGTGGAATAAATAATTGTCCCAAATGAAACTCGCGGTTATTTGTACGAACACATATTATGGAAGAGCCGCGGGCACCGTTTAAATGATATTATTTTCCGGCCAATTCGCCTAATCTAACCGGCGATGGAGAAACGCAACTGAGTGACGCTGATAAATTAACGGCAATAGTCGCTACACAACCCGTATAATCGAGAGAAAAAAAATAACAATATGACCACCGAAATCTATCATCCTACGGAAAGCCGAAAGAGTGTACCGTTTACAAGGGAAACGTTTAAATCGCACAAACAACGAATTTTCGAGACATCGTTAGGAAAACTCAACGGAAACAAGAATTAAAAAATGAATTAGCCCTCCCCGCCCCCCTCCAATTTAAACTGTATTGAAAAACGATGTTTGTAATAAAACAAAATATCTGGTTTTAATGCGTAATAATTATTTGACGCTCATAATTATTCAAACTGTACAAATAATAATAATTGATTAAATAAAATATGTTTCGTTTCCTCTTTTTGTACGCATAATATAATCACTGGCAGTCCATTATTTAACATAAATCATTTGATCGAAGACGATAATATTTTCGCCGAACCGACACAGTTCAAAAAATGATGTTTCCGTCGGTAGGGTATAATTATTATAATTAATGCATTATTTAAATTAAATTTGCAACAAACAATTTCTACTATAAAAGTTTCGAATAATTATTTAAACAGCGCTACCCACTTGCAATTTGTAGTGTCAAAACAGGGTTTGCTACAGTGAATACTGCGGAGGTGGTGGTTGTACTAACTAAATTCACTACATTTTCATAGAACAATAGGGGAAAATATTATCTATGCTTTGACGTGACATTTTTTCGACAGAACAATTAAATTTTTCCTGTAAGTTGTTAAAGTTTAGGTTTTTTTTTTGTAATAAATTATTACAAAATAGTGGATTTAGTAATCGAAAATTCAAAAACGTTTTGGCACAGAGAAAGTTCTCCTCTGTTTACTGCGATCATTTGGTGATTTCGTAACAAAATTATTGTAATTTGGCCTATTGAGACGACTGTGATAATCTGAGAAAAAAATAACTGATAAAGAATCCTCTTGTTATTGCATTATAATAAGTACACATTATAGCTTAGGATCTAATTGAAAAAAATTGCGAAAAATTTACTTTACTTTACTCCTTAATAAACATGTGAGTAGCGTTTTCTTAAGCTACATTATTATAATAAATGAGTAAATAAGGAATGTATGACCGACTAATAAGTATATGGAACTAAATGATCAATTTTGTTAAAATTATTTTATATTTTTGTTACAAATTTAAATAGATGATAAATCATAATACAAAAAAATCATAATACAATTTGAAATATTATGTTAAAAATGTATAAGTTATTAAATACTAATATTAGGAATTACAAATTAACCGCTGTTTTATACAGCAAGAAATAAAATTTGCTATCTTATTAGTACGAAAATCGGTGTCAATCGTGGAAATAGATATAATAAAATTATATGCATAATAGAATTTACCACTAAGCACAAATTATTACACGATCAGCGCTCAATGAAATATGTTTATGTTAAGTGAAATATTAGATTAACTATAAATAAAATAATTCCTTCAGGGGAACGGGTATGGCGTGACGGGTATGGCGAACCCGGGGCCCCGAGCTATGAACTGGACTGGCTTTAATTAGCTGGTCCAGTTCTCTGTACTCTGACCTTAATTGGTTGGAGTAGACTGGCCCTCCAAATTGGGGGTTAAGCGCAGGGCTAACGACCCTGCCTTGTAAAAAAACTAACGTTCAGGACTCAAACACCAAGCCTCGGACTAGATTTAACGGAAAAAAGACTGGAAACTGGAAATCGGAATTATTGTGTGGTACTTGGAACGTAAGAACCTTGTACAAAGAAGGACCGACTGTAAATTTAGTAAGAGAGGTTGAAAAATACAAGATGAAGTGTGTGGCACTTCAAGAGGTCAGATGGCAAGATGCCGGTACAACAAAGTTGTCTCAAACAACTATTTTTAATGGAAAATGCGAACATGCTCACAGACGGGGAACGGGATTTGCGGTACATGTAGCAATCATTCATACAGTAAAAGAATTTAGAGATGTTAGCCCAAGAATATCTACGTTAACGCTAACAACAGAAAATTTTGATTTGGTTCTAATTAATGTACATGCTCCTACCGAAGATGAAGATGAAATAGAAAAAGAGCTCTTTTACGCAACACTGGAAGATGTGTTTAATACTTCGATGGGTCAGGTCAGGCTGATACTGGGAGATTTTAACGGAAAAATAGGAATGGAGCCATGTTATAGAAACACCGTCGGAAATCATAGCTTGCATGCAACTTCAAATGACAATGGATCAAAACTTATTTATTTTGCTGTGGGAAAAGGGCTGGTGATCAAAAGTACATGTTCCCAAAGAAGAACATATACAAGTATACTTGGATCTCCCCAGATGGAAAATATAAGAACCAGATAGACCATGTACTAATTAATAGCAGACTCAAGAATGGTGTTCGGAATATAAAGACTTTACGAGGAGCTGATTTGGATTCGGATCACTTACTTGTTGGCATATGGATGAGAGTAAAATTTAAAAAACTTAATACAGTAGGGTGTCGTTAATCCAAACGGGTTTGGGGAAAGGGGACATTCGGATTACCGATTTGTTCGGATTACCTACCTACGACTTTAAAAAAAAAAAATTTCCTTGCTATTTATACTTATTTATATTTACTTATTTTATATGTACATACATACACATAATAGTCATACAGTCATAATAGTAATAATAATAGTAATAAAAGATAACATACATACATATTCATTTAAAATATTGAGTTATTTTTTTTTTGAACACTGGTTCCTATATGCTTCCTTAAATTGTAAGTACATTATTGCTGGTCCCACGATATCTTTTAAGCCGCTATGCCCCGGCCTCACTGTACTGGCTTTTTATTATTATTGTGCGGGTCTACGGAAAAATATGTCTAACTATAGTGATGCGATAAATGTCAAGCCCGTTCGGATTACCGCGTCTTTCGGATTAGCCTAGGTTCGGATTAACGCAACCCCCCTGTAAACGACGTACGGTAAATACAGGATGGTTTGATATTGACAAACTGGAAGACCAATCAGTAAACATTGAATTTAGTAACAAAATTAAGGAAATTTTACAGGGAAGGGAAGTAGTAGCCGACGCAGATGTGGATAGGAACTAGGAGCAAATAAAAAAAGCCATTAATAGTGTAGCGACAACGATATTAGGAAAGAAAAATTTAAAAACTAAACCTTGGTTTAACAGAATTTGTGAAGAAGCTATCGAGAGAAGAAGAGTGGCAAGAAGGAATTGGCTAAATGACACAAATAATGAAACTCTATTCGGCAGGTACAAGACTCGCCAAAGAGAAGCGAGCAACATACTGAGGTGTGAAAAAAGGAAATACCTCCGGGACATGATGGAAATAGCAGAGCTCGACTACAAATCGCATAAAACCAGAGACATGTACAAGCAGATAAATCACCTTGCAGGAGGGAATAAAAAGAAAGAGAGGTTCTTAAAAAATGATGATGGGACGCTAATAACCTCGAGCGTGGAGATAGCTAATAGATGGAGTGAGTACTTTGATGAGCTATTAAATTGTGATGAACCGGACGAAGTCTTCAGTTTTGACCTAGAACCTTGGAATGAACAAGATTGCCCAGAACCAACATTGGAAGAGATAAAGCTCCAGGTAAAATGGCTTAAGAATCACAAGTCACCTGATGAGGATGAAGTTCAAGCTGAACTACTAAAAAATGGAGGAGAAGAACTGCTGACTAAGCTATGGAAACTGATATGCCAGATCTGGAAATCCGAAAAAATACCAGAGGAATGGAAAGCAGCTACGATATGCCCAATCCATAAAAAAGGAAGCATGCAAGATTGTAATAATTATCGAGGCATAGCTCTTTTAAATGTGACATATAAAGTATTCTCTAACTGCGTCATATCGAAAATAAAATAAAAATCGGAGGAAATTATTGGCGACTACCAGGGAGGTTTTAGGCCCGGAAGATCAACAACCGATCAAATATTTTTTCTTCGGCAGATATTCCAAAAGACATGGGAATTTGACAAAGAAATCCATGTTCTTTTTATTGATTTTAGGAAAGCATATGACAGTATTCATCGAAAGAGTTTAATTAACATTATGAGAGAATTTAACTTCCCACAAAAATTGATAAAGTTAGTGGAGATAAGTATTATGGAGACATTTATTAAGTCAAAGTTGGAAGTAGTCAAACGCAGCCAATATCAGTAAAGTCAGGCCTGAGGCAGGGCGACTCAATGTCACCGGTGTTATTTAATATAGTGTTAGAGAAAGTCATTAGAGCAATGAACGTTAGACCCGACGAAAGAGTGAAATTGCAGGATTCCTCAATAGGCCTATTGGCGTACGCGGACGATTTAGTATTAATGGAAGAATCACCGAACGCACTGAAATCACTGTTCGGCCGTCTACAAAGAATGGCATCGAAAGTAGGACTACAGACAAACGAAACCAAAACGGAGTACATGGTCGTTGGCAGACGAGAAACTGCGGGTGTGTACCCATCTTTGAATGTAAGGAACTATGTTTTCAGCAGAGCTAAGCAGTTTAAATACTTAGGGTCAGTTATAACTGAAAAGAATGAGATAGTCAAGGAAATTTCAGCAAGGATACTTGCCGGCAATAGAGCTTACCATGGACTAGCAAAACTGCTAGGATCTAGATCTTTATCGAGGGAGCTTAAGATATAGCTATATACGACATTACTGCGTCCAGTTATAACTTACGGAGCGGAAACGTGGCCACTACGAAAAGAAGATGAAAGAAAGCTGATAGTATGGGAGAGAAAAGTTCTAAGGAAGATTTATGGACCGATGCAAGATAGCAATAGTAATGAGTGGAGGATAAGAACGAATAATGAGCTAGAATTACTTTTCCAGAAGCCGAATATATTGGAGACAGTAAGGAGTAAACGACTAAAGTGGGCTGGACATGCTTGGCGTAATCAGAATCCCTTGCTACGTATAGTATTAGAAAAGGATCCAGCAGGGAAGAGGCCACTGGGAAGACCTCGTATGAGATGGGAAGATCTGGTAAAAAGAGATGTGAGTGCCTTAGGTGGAGGACCAGATTGGAAGGTACGAGCATCCGACAGAGATGGTTGGAGGGAGGGGTATTTGACGGGATGGTCCTAGCGGCCGTTTGCCCGAAGAAGAAGAAGATGAATAAAATAATAATTGTTTTGAGTTATGGCAACGGGGAACAAATAAAAAATGTAATCTCTTTGTATAGTAACCGAAGGATTATTTAATTTCTGTCTTTCGCCCTCCCTCTTTTCCCCTCCCCTATCATAATTGAGCATAATATGCTACAAGTTAATTTAGTAAGAGTACGTGTTTGGTGTAAAGAGTTATGATTTTAGCGTAAAATATATTTTTTAATAGAATTGATTTGATCAGAGTTTTTTTTATAAAACAATATAATGACAGCCTCTCTTTCCACTGGCTTAATATTTCCCAAAGAACCGCTTTTAATAGAACTTATTTTTAACTTCTTTCACTTGTATTTATATAGTTGTTAAACATAAAATAAACTGTAAAACTGTATTTGCGCTTTAAATTCAAAGAACGTCTAAAGACTTTTATGGTTAATAACAAGCTCATTTACCGTTTTAGAAACGGTAAATATCAAAAGACTCTTGTAGTTTTTAATTAAAAACATTTCCTGGAAATTCATGTTTACTTATAAAACATTCGATAATACTACATTAAAGTTATTAATATATTTTAAAAATATACAGTAAACTGTTTATTTTCATCACCTTTATTGAATAAACGTTTTTTTATTTTGAAATCTGACAAAAGATAATATTTTCAAAGCGGGAAAAGTTTTAATGGTTTAAAATAAATTCATTACCTTAAACAAAGTACTATTACTTGGTAAATAAAATAAAATAATGATCACTCGTGTGGCGTTAATATCAAAGAGAACTTCTTTTTTTTTTACTCAATTATATTGCCTCGTTTTCTCTTTTTTTAATTTTGGAAAAATTATGTTTACGTGGAAAACCGTTCGACCGCAGAAAGGACTTCAAGTTATTATTATAGTTACAAGTTTTATAGACGTGTTGTTCTATCCAAAACATGTAAGGCATCCGTTTAATTAATCGGTAAGAGGTACGTACGGCTACGATGACAATATGTAGACGGTATGCAAACGGTACGTGCAAAAATAATAATTGAAAACCAATAAAAAAGAACTAAATATCTTAGCCAAACTATTCATTCGTTTCGCCGCTAAAGGGCCGTCTGCCGCCGAATGCCAAAGGACCGTTAAGTTAAGATTTATCGAGGGATTTCAATACTAGCACGCCCACGGCTGTGGATTCGTTCTTAATGAAAAAAACCGGAACGTCACTTTACCAACCCCCTTCCCTCTTTACCTTCGGCTGTATCTGTGGTAAAAAAAATCCTGACTGGAAATCGGTGACGAATGCGACTTATTGCATCGTCGTTTCCACTTTACAAACAATTTTTTACCGATTTAATATATATTTTTTTTATGAAAAACTGTTCAATTCCCTATGTATCCATAGTTATAGGTAAATCGGCTGTAGGTCGAACATTTTCGCCTTCGCGTTCTGAAGGTTGTTTATATAATTATTTATTTTATCAAGTCAATTTAGTAGTAATGTTATTTACACAATCAAATAAAATGTCTTATCTTGCTCGGTTGTCATATCGAGATCGCCACCGTGATATCGTTCCTATCGATCCGATATGATGTGACAATAATATGAATTATGATATTTTGGCAATGTTAAACGATCTCGACATTGGACTGAATTGTATGTGGCTATATACCACTGGTCAATATTGGTCAATGATCAATACGTACAAAGGCTCTTAGATTGTCAGCTTTTTCTGGTTTGCAAGGTGTTGTCAATTAAGTTGTGAGTCAATGTGCATTCATGGTTATTTGGCTGAATCATTCATTGGTTGTATCTGTTGATTCAGCGTGACTGGGATGTATATGGGTTTTACGTAGAGTGTAGTTAACGTGAGTCGACCAGTTATTATTCAATGAGGTGTCTGTCGAGGTCTGTAGATCCTTACTGGCCCATAGTGTTGCCGTATCATCACCACACAATATAGCTGTCCTCGTTGTGCTGTTACAAGTTGGAATATCAGCTGTGTAGAGTAGTTATGAGTTAGCTCTTAAGAAATCGCTTTGTGGTTTTCCAGCCGGTAGGCTTTATCCACTCGTTATCGATTCCGAATGCACGCCTCAGAATTGGCGTTTGGAGAAATAGGATTCCAGAAGTTGACCCCAAGTAGCTGTTCATGTAATTTTAGTAGCATTCTCTTTATGCTAGACTTAGTCGAAGACTTAACTTTACACCACAAAATACAACATTATCATTAGTATAATAATAAATTGTACATCAACAAAACGGCTGTGGGCAAGAAACAATCGAAAACCTCTAAACAAATCACATCTATACATAACATATGAATTTTTAGCTGGTGCGACAGCTTTGTTTTATAATATCAAATTTATAGGTTACACGTTCAAAAAACTAATTTATTCAATGTGATCCCGTTCATCCCGGCATTTGTCGCTAATTTACTGAATAATTTTAAAAGACATTTGATTATATTCCAACCATTGGTTTCCCATTGGATGAGAATGAAGTAACGTTCTTTAGTTAGGAATATAATTACGCAGTTAGTGACAGTAAAAAAAAGAAGCTAAAATTACACCCTTTAGCAAATACCCGTCATACGTTCATTTATATAGTTAAAAAACATAATAGAATACTATAAATTGAATTTAAGAGTAGGACCACACGATAAATGTAATATGCTATTAGCGATCTTAAGAAAGATAATTAAGACTTCGGACACGTCGACAGCTGTTTGAGTTTAGAAAGAAGAACGCAGACGCACTTGCAACGTTCTAACAGGACATAGGTGTTTTTATTTGTCATTCAGGTACTAGACTAACGAGGATAAGCCTTACTCGTTTAAAAAAACTTTTTTTCTCTCCATCTGGCCGGTTTAATCGGCTTGACAGGTCGAAACGGCCCAAGAGAAACGCCCGGGTCCGGACGGACAGGAGCTTAATACAAATCAAGTTTAACGCAAACCTACATACATCCGCACGGGACAGTTTGGCTCAAAATTAAATTACACATCTACCTTTTTATCAGACTACTTAGTTGTTCCGTAATACTACAATAATATTACAGTTGTTATTCATAAAAAAAAACACATATTACACGAGCCCATATATACTCTTTGTAATATTTATGTTTGAAGTTATTAAAGCGAATTCATGCTATTGTATAATGCTTTGTTTTATTTCAAAAGGTTTCTCAGTAAAAAAAATGGTATATTTTCTAGTCGTTTGCAATATTTTGAATACCGAAAATTTTACAAATATTGCATAGGCTAGGTCGGATATCTTTATCGCTGTATTTTTCTTAAAATATATACAAACAAAACCATTATAAAACACCCCCAATGACTTTACAGATCGTTCGAGCTATAAATCGTACGAGCTTTCGGATAGGCCAATTAATAGTCTAATCACGTTTCTGTCCCTTACCCAGGTTCATTAAATCAGATAGGCAGATTAACGTCGCATGTATAATGACGTGTTCTTAGTAACTATGCTATGATGCTCAATCCGGAGTGTGTTGCAGTTTTAATATGTCATAAGCCTAGATTATACGAGATAGAATTGAATTCAACACAAACCCTGCTAATCTTCAAGTTCCTCGAAGAATAAATCTCAAAACATGTTTGTTATTCAACAGATCCGGTCGTAACCGATAGAAAATGTAATCATAAATTGCGTTATAACTTATGCATAAGTATATTGCAGCTGTACACGTGATGGTGTGTCTCGCTCATCACTAAAAATGAATGAATGGTCCAATGAAATTTACCACTTTAATCGAATAACAACCATGTATTATTGATGGATTTCGGAAGAGATCAAAACTCCACGGTGACTTATCTTGAACCGACAAACCCCTGCTGCTTATGTAATATTTCGGTTTTGTTCCTCTAGAGTCTAGTCTAATCTAAGTATGAACCATCAACCACTGCCGATATGTTTCATTAGCTATGTACACACACACACACACACTGTCAACTTGAGAAATGAGGTGGAAAATTAAAGCGTTTAGACTAATCAAATATCGAAAAGGTAAATGTATGAGAAATATAGAACTTAACTAAATTAGAACTAAATAATAAACTTAAATTGTATATTCCTGGAACAAAATAATTTACTCGTGTGTGAAAGAAAACCTAGTTTTAAAAATTTCGATGAATTAAAAATTACATGTGGTTTATATAATTTATATTGTGGTTTTAAAGGTACACAAAACATAATATATTATTGAAGTTGCTGTCGACTGCAGAGACGACACATACGCAAAATCTACGATCAGCTATTCGGTTCTAGCGTGAGAAATCGTATTATAATAATGCACTTTGGTTCTTTTTGCTAAAAGAAATGTCAAATCGTATTATGCACCGCAATTGTTGATCATTTTCAGCGTTATTATACGCACGGTATATAAAATAGAACAGGATAAATACATTGGCAGAAATGACAGTCTGTAAAGTCTCGAGAGACACCCTGTGCACGTGTACATATATTATGTACAAAATAGGTATACTATAAAATAGGTATTTAGCTTACTCTGATGTTTGCAATCGTCAGTTGTCACTTCTTG